CAAACAAACAAACAAACAAACAAACAGTTGTTTCCGATTAGGTGTTAAGATATTAAAATAATCGTGCCATCTTGTGGTAATATAGAAAAGTTTGCCGGATTTTGAAATATATACAGGGTTATTATCAAGTTATTTGGCCTATTCTACCGTCAGTAACTTGAAAACTATAATATTAGGTAGGTGATTTAATGAGATGATGGGAAGATCGATCCCAGTGTCAAAAATATTTATCGTCAAGCGCCCAGTACATCTCCAGATATCATTACACACGCGCCCAGTACATCTCCAGATATCATTACACACGCGCCCAGTACATCTCCAGATATTATTACACACGTGCCCAGTACATCTCCAGATATCATTACACACGCGCCCAGTACATCTCCAGATATCATTACACACGCGCCCAGTACATCTCCAGATATCATTACACACGCGCCCAGTACATCTCCAGGTATTACTACACACGTGCCCAGTACATCTCCAGATATCATTACACACGTGCCCAGTACATCTCCAGATATCATTACACATGTGCCCAGTACATCTCAAGAACGCTCTTTCCAACTCTCTGTTGATTACTGTTCGAATTATGGACATTACAATATGCCAACTAACATTATAATAACATTATAATATTTTGTGGCAATGATCAGTACATAAGAATCACTATTAGTAACTTTTTCTATTTGTCTAAAATACGTCCGTTTTAAATAATCAAGACAATAACCTAATTCTACTCTTACTTATAAATAACATAAACTAATATAACGTTGCTTGTTTAAAGATATAAAAAGTATTTAGTAAAAATCTTTATTATTCAGACAGAAAGAATAATTTGATAACGTAATTTTACTAGAAGCTGACAAAGCCCTCTTTTAAACATAAATATCCCAGACTAATAAACGATGGGCATTGTATTTATTAAGTACTGTGGGGTCCGTAGCCTAATTATGTTCAATATGTTACGGCTCGTTTTTTAATTAGTGTTTTTCCTTATAGTTTATTATTGTTCTAGCTAATTAGTTTTTTTTTATCCACTATATACTCTTTACTTAGTGTCATACAACTTACACATCTGTTCGGTAAGAAGTACGTAACCCTCCCCCCCCCAAAAAAAAACAACTAATAGGAGAGGAACAAAAAAAAGCGTCTTATTTACTTTGAAGCAATATTTGGATACTTA